GCGGGCATGCTGAGAATGGTGGGGCGGGAGGAATCAAGTCACCTTGGCTCTTAGCAACTCCAAGGGTCACTAAGCCAACACTGAGACACTCTCTCACTGGACTTGCTGTCGTGTGCAATAACAAAATCTCCATGTTGCTTACAGATGCTTGTAGCTGGGTTTCCTAATATTTATAAACAATGGATGCACTGAAGAGCAGACCCAGGGCAGAGGGACGTGGGACAGACAGTGCCTGCTAGCTAGGCACTCAAGGGGTCCAGTGAGGGGAGCTTCAGGTCTCTTTCTGAGGTGCCTCTGCGTGCCCTGCCACAGGCGTGTTAGACACCCCCTCTCTGTGTCTGCTCCCACTCTGGCCCACCCCACAGCACACTGCTCTGGGACCCAGCGGCTGGAGGCAAGGGCCTGGGCAGACGGTGGCTGTGTATGAACACAGCTGGATGAGTCAACGAGGACCAGGAAACCAGGCTGGAGACACAGGAGAGCTTGGAGAACAAGGTGTGTGGGGAAGGGCTAAGGGACACGCATGACGAAAACAGGGACCACGAGGGGCAGGGCCACCGGGGTGGGGGCGGAGGGGCTCCCCATGCAGGGGTGGTCACTTACGTTTTATTGGTGCCTCAAAGGACCTGGCCACTGTCACCATCACGTTGGTGCCAAATACCTAGAAGGAGAAGAGAGGAGTCTGGAGGGAGGTGGGGGCTGGGTGGGACAGAACGGCTGTCTCTGGGTTCCTCGATGGGCTGCTGCCTGACATCGGCAGGGAGGGGCTCCAGAGTAGATGTGAAGCTGAGGGTAGGTGGCCACCAATACTAGTCATATGGACGTATCATTGGGCTCCTGGTTCTGGGCAACAAAAAGGGGCAATTTGAAGGAGTCGGAAAGGGGCCTCTGATGGCCCCGGCCAGGCCTCCAGTTCATTGAGGGTTCTGTCCCTCCCCTGAGAGAAAGTCCTCCAGTACCACCCACTTAAGGGGAGAAGAGGCTGCCGAGGCGGGGCAAAGGGTGCCTGAGTTAGGCTGACTGCGATGCCTCTCGGCGTGAGTGTGGCAGGTCCCTTAGCCCAGGGCTGTCTGCAGCCAGAGTGTGCCGTTAACAGCAGCCCGTCCTCCCAGCTCAGTGCCCGTGCTGGGCCCACTCACCAGCATTACCCACCCTCCCTGAACTTCTCTGAGTCTCAGCTCGCTTGCTAGGGAGACATGGGGTTAAGTCACACCCCTGCCAGGGCCACTGTGAGGAACAGATGAGGGCGGCTGAAGGCACTGGGCACAGGGTGGGCTCTCAGCGAGAGGAGAATCTGCTCTCTCCTGTTTCATGGATGAGGGCCACTCAGCCCAGAAAGGACCTGCTCTGGAGGCTGGATTTCGGGCCACGGCTGCTGCCTTCCATCAGATGACTGCTGCCTGGGCTAGAGAGAGGGGAGCAGGAAGAGACTCACCCAGAAGACATCGTAGACAAAGAGGCCACCTAGCAGGATGCAGCCGGTGCTGACATTATTCAGGTGCAGGAGCTCCACCCCGTTAAGGGAGAAGGCCAGGCCAAAGAGGTTATTGGCAATCCAGTGCTGGGGGA